GTAAAGGTAATTTTAATATATTTGATTTAAAAATTCGCTATATCAAGGGTTCGCTATATCAAGGTTTGACTGTATAAATAAAACTATCAATACCTAAAGAATTAATATTACTACTATATAATACTTTAACCTTTTTTCTAGAAAATCCAATAGATTTTAAAGCACAATAAATAGTTGAAGCACTAATTAAAAGATTGTAAGGTTTGCCATATAAAATCAATTATGATTTCAAATTTGAATTTTATTAATTATAAAAAAATGAAAAATAAAGCTCTAAATTTTTTTAAATATTTATTAATATATATTAATCAAATTTTTTAAATTAAATTTCATATAATTTAAATAATAATTTATTAATTCCTTTTTATTATAATTTTATATTATTAAGTTATTAAAATTTTGATAAAAATAAATTATAAATTAATTAATAAAAATTAGAGTTTAAATTGTATTTTTATAAATTTAATAATTTTATATAAAATTAAATATCAAATTAAACCAATTGAATTATTAGATTAGTTAAATGAAATGCATTTGTATAAGAAATATCTAATTTAAAATGTCGTTTCTTGTGTCCTAAAAATAATGCAATATCAAAAAATTAAATATGCAATTGGGGCGGTATCGTCATATAATTCTTAAAAGGAAAACAAACTCAAATTAAATTTTTTTTTTTCTTGTTTTAACGATGCGGTACTGTCAGCATATTTTATTAATTTATACAAAAAAACAATACAAAGAAAGTAAAATCAAAAACTAAAAGCAAATAGCCAACTACCCCCCGTAACTACTTTTAAAGTCCGTTTGAGTCGACCGAGCATCGCCACCCCTCTCCAATAGACCCACTAAAACTCAAATTAATTAACGTTTTGATGAACAATAACAAAAAATATGTTCATGTAACACACGACTTTTTTTATTATTTACAAGTAATATTTCCAATTTGGCGTTTTCTCGAATTAACACAATTCTCTCTTTTATTTGCTGTCAAAAAATTGTGTATTAAAGTGATTTTTTCGTTATTCTCAAATTCTCAATGGAATCAAGTGAATCAATATCAATGGAATCCAATCATATTAAAGATGAAAATATCGCTAAGGATGTCAATGCCGCAGCATCATTATCAACATTTTATTTAAATATCATTTCAAAACCTTCAATCAATCTCGCTCTGCCTTCCCCAAAACTAATTATATTGGATTTAAATGGAACTTTATGTTTTCGAAAGAAAACAAGGAGTAAAAATAAAAATTATCGTATTATTTTACGTCCTTTTATCAACGAATTTATCAATTATCTTTTCGATAATTACTTGGTGATGATTTGGTCTACTTCAAGACCCGAAAATGTTGATAAGATGGTGAGTTTGATATTTGGAGATCAGAAAGAAAAGCTGATTGCTGTTTGGGCTCGTGATAAATTTGGATTTACAAAAGAAGAGTATGAAAGGGATACTAAAGCCATAAAAAATTTGGATATTATTTGGAAAGCTTTGAATACTCAAACCGAAAGCCCAGATAATCTAATATTGGATCCTACGAATACCATTTTAATTGACGATTCTAGGTACAAGGCTCAATTGCAACCTTTCAACGCCATTCATCCTCGTGGATTTAATCGCGAAAGAGTAGGTAAAGGCGGAGATTCCGAATTAACGACGATTATCAAATATTTGGAGGTGGTAAAATATCAAAGTAACGTTGCTGCATACATGAAAGACCATCCATTTACTGATCAAGAACAATTAATATCTTAAATAAAATCTCTCATATAAAATAGTCTATATAATTAAAAAACTTTAATAAAATATTTTTCGAAAACAAATCTAATAGTTCTAATTTGTTTTTATAATATTCATTAAAATTCCTAATTTTTCAGTACAAATATCATTATACAAATGCTTCTATAAGAATTCATATTTGAATTTTGAATGAAAACCAGGGTTGAGATTCATTAATCATTCCAAAAAAAAAATCTTTTCAAATGTTCCATTTTAAAGGGTCTTCTCTTTCATCATCGTGTTTTCATCCTCCTCATCATTGTTGTTGAAAAAGAATTTGGCGTATGATAAATGAATTAATCCGTGGTTATATCAATCAGCATTTCAAAAAAAGTAAATTGGTTAAATAATTACTAAGTTATCTACCATTTGACCAGTTTCAAGATAGAAATTTTTTACTGTATAAAAAATTTGCACTTTATTATCGGTTTCTTTTTATTCGGTGCATGAAAGTTGAAAAAAATGATGGTTTCATATTTTCATCAAGAAAATAATGATTTTATAAATAGATAAATAAATACAAGTCATGTCTTAAAATAAAATTTTATATTCAATTCCCTCCATTTTATATATTTAATGAAATAAAAATTATTTCATACATTCTTCCCAAGTAACAGCTTGATCGGGCAGATTTGGATAATCATAATTACTACTCATATTTGATTCTTCCTCAATTATGTCATCATCAAAATCTTTGACATATCTTAATAAACTTGATTTTCTTGCCAAGTCTTTATAAAACGAGGACCGCTTAGCATTTGTTGAAGAACTACTTTCAATATTTTTATAAGCTGTAGAAGACATATTTTCATTTAAATTAATATCAACTAAATGAGAGTCTGGAGGGGAACAAGATTTTCGTATGACGGTTGGAGAGGGGAGCCTTATTTCTTCGGCATCATTATCAAAAGAAGTTGGAGACCATGGAGGCAAACCATGATCCGTCATGGAATATTGTCGCTGAATTAATTTATTATGAATACTTCCATCTACCGAATAAGTTCTTTGATAAGGAGTACTATATTTTTTTGAAAACACCGTTTTTCTCAATAAAAATGCTAAAGAAAATAATGCTAATAAAATTGCTATTACTAATCCGATTATAGCGGGTATACGATAAGGTGATCGCGGATCAAATGGACTTATTGGAACTCCTAACGTTGTCGGTGGTAATATCGATTGTGTAGTCGAACTTGGATTTGATAACGGATCATTTACTTTTGTTGGGTTATAAGCGGTTGATGTGGCTTGATCTGAATCTGATATACTTTTATCTATATTTGAATTGTCATTTTTATTGATTGCATTTTTATCAGGTTTACTTTGAGATGAAAGCTCATCTGGTAAAGAGTTAAATGTTGGAGGTGTTAAAGAGAGTTCTTTTGGATTTTGGGGTGGTGAGATATCGGGAGTTTTTATTAAATTTGATGAATTTATAACAACTGCTTCGTCTTGTTTTGGATTCGCATTATTATCCTTAGGATTATTTGCCTTTGGTGTATTAGTGGGAGGATTTGATTCAGGATCTTTAGGTGGTTCCTCTTTCGGTGGAGGTTCCTTAGGTTGATCCTCATTCGGTGGAGGTTCCTTAGGTTGATCCTCATTCGGTGGAGGTTCCTTAGGTTGATCCTCTTTAGGTGGAGGTTCCTTAGGTTGATCCTCTTCAGGTGGAGGTTCCTTAAGAGGTTGATCTTCCTTAGGCGGAGGTTCCTTAGGAGGTTGATCCTCTTTAGGCGAAGGTTCCTTAGCAGGTTGATCCTCTTTAGGCGGAGGTTCCTTAGCAGGCTGATCCTCTTTAGGCGGAGGTTCCTTAG